CACAGTAAAAGTTTTCATTTTCATGCAAACTAATGAATTCATTTTAACATTTAAAGTTCTTGGTAATAAGTAATGATCGGCATATTATAAAATTATTCGTAATCAGTCAAAAAAAAATTGAATGATATTATGCAATTACGGGAACTGATTACATAACAAATAAATAAATATGATGATAATCTTGTTAAAAAGAAGCCATTGAATTAACAAAAAATCAGTGTACAATTTACATATTTGGTTAGAACGTGCACGTTCACCGATTGATTTTACGCACCGAGCGTAATAAGTAGAACTTGTTCAGTGTTTCTTTTATTGATTGTTAGATTTAAATTCTCGACGTCAGTTTAACAAAATAGTGTTGGAATATATGATTTCTTCAACCTTAATATTAACGAAGTAATTCGACGGACAAAAAAACTTAGTCTTGGTAATGAATTAGACTTGTCTTTTCTTTTAATGGATGAAAGTCTAATTGATAGCGTTCTTGCATATGAATATAATATTCATTATTATTATCTCGATAGACGATGAAAAAAAAATAATACTATGATGTTGTCGATCGTTGTTGATGATGATACAGAAAAAATAGAATAAGCATTATAAATTTATACATTAATTATAAACTAGTTATATATATTAAATATATTTATTTAGCTTACCAATAAAAAAATTAGTTCTTTCTGAAGAAAAATTATTTTTTTATTTCCCCATTTGGAGATCGGTCTAAATACTTGAATGAGTTTATTGATATTAAAATATTAAAATGATCTCTTTTGCTCTTGTGTAATTGTTTAGAATGTTAATTGAATAATTATTTATTATTATTATATAAAGTAATAAGGCATAATTTTTCGATAAAAATTTTATCGTGGATCTTTAAAAAAAAATCATTTTTATTTTATTTATATAATTAAAAAATTTAAAATTCAAAATAATGTCATTGCATCATCATCTTGTTGGTAGACCATCAATAAATCGTAAAAATTCGCATCCATTAGAAAATTATTGTAATAAGAAGGAAAAAAAAATATTATTTTACAATAACAAAGAAGAAAATGATGACGATTTTGATGATTTCACAATTGAGAATTTTAAAATTATTGATGGTAGAAAATTTAATAATATCGAAGAATCTTGTGAATTCTTGCCTGTTGATGATAAGGTAAATTATAAGTTAATTAATTATTAATTTCCTACAACTTTCTAAAACTTTCTATTATTTTATAGTCAATGTCTATAATGGAAACTGTAGAAGTTTTATCACAGCATATATGGAATGGTAAATTTTCTTCTCCTGTGAAAGAAACATTAAAGAATGGTGGTGCATCTGTAATAGACATTGGGTAAGTTGATTGATTCATCAAACTTCTCCTATGACAATCTAATAATCATGAATTAATTATAATTGTTTTCTCAGATGTGGACCTGCAACTTGGTTAATATTTATGGCAGAAGAATTTCCAAAGTCATCATTTGTTGGAATTGATATAGTGATTGATTTGAATGATTCTAAAAAAGAATTACCAGAAAATTTAGCAGTAATTAGACATAACATACTTGATGGTTTACCATTTCCAGATGACACTTTTGATTTTGTTCATCAAAAACATATGACACAGTCATTAAAAATTGATCAATGGTCTTTTGTAATAGATGAACTGATACGTATAACTAAACCTGGTGGTTGGATTGAATTTGTGGTAATTATTAATAAACATAATAATGATGTGATAAAGAAATATGTTTATATTATTAACTTTGTTATTCATTATTATTATTAGGAAAATGAAGTCATGCCATATGGCTTGGGTCCAGTGGGGAAAAGATATATGGCTGGATGTAAATAACCATTTAATAAACTGTTTAATACTATTTCTTAATAAGCTCTAACAAATTATCAATTAAATTATAGTCATGAAATTATACAAATCGTGTAATATAGATGGATCAATCCGTGAATCTATTGAACAAAAATTAATGAATTCTGATAAAATGGTTGAAATTAGTAATCAAGCAAGGAATTTTCCATTAGGTGGTGATGGTATGACTGGTGAAGTGGTAAATATGTTATTTTATGGTGGTGATGCTAATAAATAATAAATCTTTTATGATGGCAATAAAATGATCATTATTATATTACATCATTTAATTGTGTAGTTAAGAACAACTATAGTTGGGTCACTAGAAACTGCTGGACCTTATATCTCATCATTTATCGGAGTTAGTTTAGAAGAGTATAATGAAATGATTGAACAATGTGCTGTAGAAAATATTAAGTATAAACCTTATATAAAAAATTTTAGGTAAACACTCATTCCTCTCTTCTTCTTAGTATTTTTTTATTCCATGTTTACTAATACTAAAAATTTTTTTTTAATCATCTAGAATATCTGGAAAGAAAAGATGATTATATATATATTTACAGGCTATAGCTTGTAAAAAAGAATAATTCTTGCAATTTATTATTTGGGATCTGTTACTAGAAAAATCGAGCTACAAGCTGTTTTTTTTTTTTTTTTTTTGAGTCTTTTTACTCAATAATAATCTCTAATATAAGGATTTTATAATCGGTGAAAAAACCGAACCCTGTTTGCATAATGAAAAAATGAGATGCAAGGCTTCTCTTTATAGATTAAAAAACATAAAAATAATTTTTTTGTACTTTATTTTTAAATTATATTAAAATATTACACCATTAAACCAAACAAACAATGATTGCTAAATTGACAATCCTCGCCTGATGATGATTCTTACAAAAATAAATTGCCTCCAATTTCTAGTCATAGCCGCAACTAGATTTAAGCCACTAAGAAGCTAAAAATATGAACTTGTCATTATTTATTAACGATTATTAATAAAGGTGTGAAAAAAAATTATAAATTCGGAATAGAAAACTTTTTACCCGATATAAATATTTGGAAAATCCAAACTTCTGCTTTTTTTTTTTTTAAAAAAAAAAAGAAAGTCTCTAGCAATCTGAAATATCCTATATAGCTGATTGTAAATTGGAATTTTGTTGAATGCAAATGCCAAATGACAAAAGGCAAATTGTAAAAGCCTGTCAACAAATTTTTATAAACTGAATTTTTAGGGAAGGATGAAATCAAGATTGAAACATTATAACAAATTTTAATAATAATAATTATTACAAAAAAACAATGATAGGCGTCGCAACAACATTATCATTTCACATCAATAATTTACCAACTTTATTATCAAAAAAAAAATTTTTTTTAAAAAAACAATCAAATCTCCATAACTCATCTCGGTTAGTATTAAAGATTGGTGTATTCAGGAAGGAAGTGTCTTCTTTCATAATTATTTCATTTTATTCATTATTCTTTTCATAATAATAGTGTGTACTCACATACATTGTACATATAATAAATGAGTTTGTAGGAATGATTTGATGATATGATCTAATAAAAAATGAAATAATGACAACGTAATGGTTAGAGTGAATAAGGACAATAGCATTGCATTTGAGAATATCAATGATAACCCCATTTTTTATGTTAAATAAGGAGGAAAAAATTGTTTGATATTCTATAAACAGTCTAAAGTTTAAAAAAATCCCCTTGTTTTCCATTTGCAGAGAATTGTCTAATGATGATTGAAAGAATCTTGACTTTAAATTTTTGTGAATAAATGAATTTTGATCAAAAGTAAAAAAAATTGGCTAAAAAAAGAGTTAGCCGATTCTTTTATTATTATTTTTTTAAAAAAAATTCGTAATTCGTGATAAACGACATGCATTTTAAATAGTCAAATGTGAATAGTCATAAAGAAAATTAATTAATAGCTAGAATCTTGAATCGGGTTCTAATTATTTTTATAGAAATTTAAAACGACAAAACGTCCCACTTTAAATGTAAAATCTTGTTCCAATAGATGAAATAAAGCCACATTCACATTATGGGCTAGATTTACTGCCTATTGAAGTAAATTATTGTCATATTTAAAAATAATTGATAACAGTTGATTAGGCACAAGGTTTAATAATATGGGAAATTAGATTTTGTTCAAGATTTTTAATATCACAAAAAAAACCCCTTTTTTAATAAATTTTAGTCCTTAAAAACTTTGTATTAATCATGAATAAATTGACTTTTCAAGTGATTCTGAAAGAAGTGAAAGCGAATTTATATCAACCATCACATTTTAGAGAACATTTCTGAAGATAGCAATGTTACCGAGAAGAATCAGAATGATTACAAAACTGGATGATAGTATGCATTTCCCAACTAGGAAAGTTAGTATCAGGTATATTAAACAATGAGCGCAACAACAAGGATTTAAGCAAAAATTTGAGAAATGACATACGAAAACAAACTCTTATTTGTAATTGTGACAGTCAGTACTAATAAAAAAAAAGTAGAATCAAACTGTAACTGATCCCATAAAAAATAATCTACATTTCATAATGAACATTTTGGTCACTTAATTGAACCTTCTGCAAGAAGATTTGAGTCAAAAAAGCAATTTACAGTCCCCGGCGAAAAGAATGGTGGTTAGTTTTTTAATCTTCGTGCAATTACATAAGCCTTTCTTTTAGCATATTCAGTAAATTTCTTAAATTTATATTTATCAGGATCATTTTTATCACAACCTCTAACTTTGCATGGACCATTATTTGCATTCATTTTGGCAATTAAAATTTGATTTGATTGTTAAAATTTGATGTTAAAATTCAATTTAATTTTGATTTTAACTTCAAACTACAAGTCCTATATATATAAAATTATTACTATTACTGTTAAAAATTAATGAACCGGCCGAATGTTTTTTTGTGATCTCTGATCGGCCATGACTATTTCTATTTTTAATTTTTCGCAACAAATCAGAAATTTGTTTTGTGTGATATTTCGGATTTGATTGTCACAAAATTTAACCAATGAAATTCCAAGAATAGGATGTCCATTATGCTTATTGTGGTGTTTTGTTATTACCAAACATATCAGGTCAACTCAGGAAAAGTATTGGTAAAATCAACAACATCAATGTCACCATCTTTACCATTGTCATCAATAAATGATGATAATCCATCAAATGAATCACATTTGTCATCATCACCTTCAGCATCACCATCAAATGAAATTCACAACCATGATACAAGGGCCATTACACAACCATGATACAAGGTTAGAATTACCAAAAGGACAATTAGACAACAACGATACAAAATCAACAAATGAACTGCTGTCCAATGATAGTTTAGAATCATTTTTACCACAACAAACCAATAATAATAATCAAGAATTACCAGTTAGTGAACCAAATAATGAACCAAAATCAAAATCACCCACTGTAAATAACAATGGTAATAAAAGTAATTGTGATTGTGGAAAAAGAGGAATGGATGCAATTGAAGATAGTCTTGAAAACTTTTTCATAAAATATATTAAGTTAAATTAATGTATTATTTTTTTTACAATGGATAATGTAATTAATTTCATCATGCATAACTATGTAAATATTCCTCCACATCAAAGTGTGCCTGTTTTTCCAATTATAATAATAATAAATTCTTTACACACCTCTAAATAATATACCATTAATAATAATTATAAACATTTCTTTACATGAAATTGATATTGTTGTTAATTTCATCACATTTGGCGAATTTGGTAAAATGTGAAGCAATATTTTTTTTTCTCTTAAATTCAATACAATACATTATTAAGAAATTTACATTCTTACAATTAAAAAAAAGCCAAGACAAAATAAGCAAACTCTGCATTTAAAATAAATCAGATAACGAATTAAATATTCTTTCAATGTAATTTGAATACTCAAACTCATAATGATTGAGTCATGTGATTTTATAATCCTGTGACACTGAAGAATATCTGCTATTTGGGATTTGAAGATTTGGCAGTACAATGAAGCATTTGATGTCTTTAGATGGCATGCACTATAATATAATGATGGTTTTAAAAATAATTCTCTGGTATTATTCCTTTAGATTATGAAGAACAAGTTGGAGATGCAACAACATTAATACAAAATATAAATGGTCAAAGAGATGATGTTGATAATTTAATTGATAGATTAAGTTTCAGTTCAGCATTAGCAGCAGAGAAATATATATCAATTGATGGTGAGGAGATTAATGAAATGCCATCCAAAAAGGAAATTCTTGAGCAAATTGGAGGAGAAAATGTTATTGTGGGTAATACAAGTAGTACAACCATTCCTAATGTTCTAATAATAAATGAAGTTGTAAAAGCTTTTGTAAATGCTAATTTCTTTTATTCTGTTTAGGCATTTTAACAAAAAAAAAAATAAAGAAATAGATTTGAGTTAAAAATCGCGTTCCATAAAAGGAATGATTTTCATAGAAAATTTCACCAATTGACGCAACATTTGATGTGTTTAGATGATTGGCATCATACTAGTCTTGACATGCATTATTACATTAGGGATGTAGCAATGATGGACTTTTTAAAAATTATATTGCTTTAAAAATTCAGATCTAAAAAGAATAAATTGCATTCTATCAAGAGAATGAGGAAGAAACCATTATTCATTTCTCAAAGATATTGATGCAAGTGAGAAATAGCTGAAATAAATAATGACCTTTGTCTCACTGAATTGTCTTGGCGAATCCTATTTGTGTATTCCCAAACCATGCTGATAACCAAGGTCCTAGATTTTCAGCGGTTGAAGAGAATAATAGAGGCACTAGCATCATTTCTCTTGATCCAGTAGTGAAAACCTTCATGACAAGCTATAACTCAAGTGGTGAGGTTACAGAATGGGGTATTAGTAGAATATATCAATTGTGCTTGCATTATGATAGAATCCGAGGTGAAAGGGATTCTATTCATGACCAAGCAAATAAGTGTAGGAAGTATAAGCTCCCGTCAGTGCATACTCTGTATCCACAAGAAAATTCGTAATCTTGTGGATGAATGTCATCAAAGATTACCAGGATGGTTCTTTGAAAACCACTATCATCAGGAAAATAAATCTTACGTAAACCTACATAGGGTTCAGAATTGGCCAGCATTATGTTGATATTTTGGTAATTCTGTTAACATTTCCGCATAATGCTGGTCAGTTTTAAATCCTGTGTAGGTTTACATGAGATTTATTTTCCTGATGATGTGGCTTCCTGAGTTTAAAACATAAGACATAGTTAAAAATGCGGTTCTAGAAAAATCTACTCTAAAATTCTAAGACCTGGTCACATTACCATTTTCGCCAATATTTGCTCCACAAATCCTGCGAGTACCTTTGGTTCAAGGTTGTCATCTGCACTGAGAAATACACTAGCAAACATGCAGATGTTGTGGATATGTTCAAAGATCTTTGGTTGTACATCTTATAAATCTGCCATTAATAGATATGCAAATAGAGCTTGTAATATACTTTTGAAGTATATTACAGAAAAACAACAAGAGTCGTTTGCAACAGTGGGGCTTGCACCTAAGACACCTTATTGTGGGCTGTCTACATAGGACTTGTCTTTAGAATTAGTATAGGTTCAATGTAAGATATTTTTTTTTAAAGGAATTAATTAATTGTGTAATAAAAACATGCGATATTAAAATTATGAGGCTTGTTCCAATATATAAAATTTCCTATGCGATTTTAAATAAATCCCAGTATTCTAGATTGGATTTTCCCCAAAGTATGGTCAAACCTCATTTCAACTGATCTAAGGGACCACCCACCTATTACTATTACTATTACTGTATAGTCATCAATTATTTTGAATACTATGATTCTATTTTCTTTTTCAATGATTTTAAAGCTTTTAATTCATATTGTTTGGTTCAAGAAAATTAAAAGCAGTTTCAAAAGCTTTTACAACTTCATTTATTATTAGAACATTAGGAATGGTTGTACTACTTGTATTACCCACAATAACATTTTCTCCTCCAATTTGCTCAAGAATTTCCTTTTTGGATGGCATTTCATTAATCTCCTCACCATCAATTGATATATATTTCTCTGCTGCTAATGCTGAACTGAAACTTAATCTATCAATTAAATTATCAACATCATCTCTTTGACCATTTATATTTTGTATTAATGTTGTTGCATCTCCAACTTGTTCTTCATAATCTAAAGGAATAATACCAGAGAATTATTTTTAAAACCATCATTATATTATAGTGCATGCCATCTAAAGACATCAAATGCTTCATTGTACTGCCAAATCTTCAAATCCCAAATAGCAGATATTCTTCAGTGTCACAGGATTATAAAATCACATGACTCAATCATTACGAGTTTGAGTATTCAAATTACATTGAAAGAATATTCAATTCGTTATCTGATTTATTTTAAATGCAGAGTTTGCTTATTTTGTCTTGGCTTTTTTTTAATTGTAAGAATGTAAATTTCTTAATAATGTATTGTATTGAATTTAAGAGAAAAAAAAATATTGCTTCACATTTTACCAAATTCGCCAAATGTGATGAAATTAACAACAATATCAATTTCATGTAAAGAAATGTTTATAATTATTATTAATGGTATATTATTTAGAGGTGTGTAAAGAATTTATTATTATTATAATTGGAAAAACAGGCACACTTTGATGTGGAGGAATATTTACATAGTTATGCATGATGAAATTAATTACATTATCCATTGTAAAAAAAATAATACATTAATTTAACTTAATATATTTTATGAAAAAGTTTTCAAGACTATCTTCAATTGCATCCATTCCTCTTTTTCCACAATCACAATTACTTTTATTACCATTGTTATTTACAGTGGGTGATTTTGATTTTGGTTCATTATTTGGTTCACTAACTGGTAATTCTTGATTATTATTATTGGTTTGTTGTGGTAAAAATGATTCTAAACTATCATTGGACAGCAGTTCATTTGTTGATTTTGTATCGTTGTTGTCTAATTGTCCTTTTGGTAATTCTAACCTTGTATCATGGTTGTGTAATGGCCCTTGTATCATGGTTGTGAATTTCATTTGATGGTGATGCTGAAGGTGATGATGACAAATGTGATTCATTTGATGGATTATCATCATTTATTGATGACAATGGTAAAGATGGTGACATTGATGTTGTTGATTTTACCAATACTTTTCCTGAGTTGACCTGATATGTTTGGTAATAACAAAACACCACAATAAGCATAATGGACATCCTATTCTTGGAATTTCATTGGTTAAATTTTGTGACAATCAAATCCGAAATATCACACAAAACAAATTTCTGATTTGTTGCGAAAAATTAAAAATAGAAATAGTCATGGCCGATCAGAGATCACAAAAAAACATTCGGCCGGTTCATTAATTTTTAACAGTAATAGTAATAATTTTATATATATAGGACTTGTAGTTTGAAGTTAAAATCAAAATTAAATTGAATTTTAACATCAAATTTTAACAATCAAATCAAATTTTAATTGCCAAAATGAATGCAAATAATGGTCCATGCAAAGTTAGAGGTTGTGATAAAAATGATCCTGATAAATATAAATTTAAGAAATTTACTGAATATGCTAAAAGAAAGGCTTATGTAATTGCACGAAGATTAAAAAACTAACCACCATTCTTTTCGCCGGGGACTGTAAATTGCTTTTTTGACTCAAATCTTCTTGCAGAAGGTTCAATTAAGTGACCAAAATGTTCATTATGAAATGTAGATTATTTTTTATGGGATCAGTTACAGTTTGATTCTACTTTTTTTTTATTAGTACTGACTGTCACAATTACAAATAAGAGTTTGTTTTCGTATGTCATTTCTCAAATTTTTGCTTAAATCCTTGTTGTTGCGCTCATTGTTTAATATACCTGATACTAACTTTCCTAGTTGGGAAATGCATACTATCATCCAGTTTTGTAATCATTCTGATTCTTCTCGGTAACATTGCTATCTTCAGAAATGTTCTCTAAAATGTGATGGTTGATATAAATTCGCTTTCACTTCTTTCAGAATCACTTGAAAAGTCAATTTATTCATGATTAATACAAAGTTTTTAAGGACTAAAATTTATTAAAAAAGGGGTTTTTTTTGTGATATTAAAAATCTTGAACAAAATCTAATTTCCCATATTATTAAACCTTGTGCCTAATCAACTGTTATCAATTATTTTTAAATATGACAATAATTTACTTCAATAGGCAGTAAATCTAGCCCATAATGTGAATGTGGCTTTATTTCATCTATTGGAACAAGATTTTACATTTAAAGTGGGACGTTTTGTCGTTTTAAATTTCTATAAAAATAATTAGAACCCGATTCAAGATTCTAGCTATTAATTAATTTTCTTTATGACTATTCACATTTGACTATTTAAAATGCATGTCGTTTATCACGAATTACGAATTTTTTTTAAAAAAATAATAATAAAAGAATCGGCTAACTCTTTTTTTAGCCAATTTTTTTTACTTTTGATCAAAATTCATTTATTCACAAAAATTTAAAGTCAAG